CCCCCGTGCCTAGCCACCCAGGTCCAGTGTCTACCCACCCAGGCCCTGCGCCTATACCTACACCCATACCCCAAGCCTCTACCCACTGAGGTCCTGCGCCTACCCACCCAGGCACAGCACCTCTACCCACCCAGGTCCCGCGCCTCTACCTATCACGCAGGCCATGCACCTCTACCCACCAAGGCCCTGGGCCTAGACACCCAGGCTCTGCGCCTAGCTACCCAGGCCACGTCTCCCCACCCAGGCCCCACGCCTATACCCACACCCTGACGCCTATACCCACACCCAGATCCCGCGCCTCTACCGACCCAGGCCCTGTGCCTCTACCGACCCAGGCCCTGCATCTCTACCGACCTAAGCCACGTGCCTACCCACCCAGGCCTGCGTCTACCCACCTAGGCCCCGCGCCTGTACACACACCCCATGCTTATACCTACACCAAAGCCCTGTGCCTATACCCACACTCAGGTACTGCACACAGTATACCCACACCCAGGCTTCGCGCCTATATACACCCAGGCCCCGCGCCTCTACCTACCCAGTCCCCGCGCCTCAACCCACCCAGTCCCCGCGCCTCAACCCATCCAGGTCCTGTGCCATACACACACAGGCCCAGCGCCTACACACCCATGCCCCGCATCTCTACATATATGGGCCCTGCGCCTATACCTACCCATGCCCCACACCTCTACCTATCGAGGCCCACCCAGGCCCCGTGTCCACAAACCCAGGCCCTGCACCTACACCCCACCTAGGCCCATGCACATCCAGGCCCTGTTTCTCACTTACCCAGGCCCCGCATCTCCTATGCCTAGACCTGGCCCCCGCACCTACCCATCCACACCCGTGCCTACCCACCCAGGCCCTGCACCTATACCTACCCCATACCTCGAGCCTCTACCCACCTAGGTCCCGCGCCTACCCCCCAGGCACAGCACCTCTACCCACCCAGGTCCCGCACCAAGGCCCTGGGCCTAGACACCCAGGTCCTGCTCCTTTACATACCCATGCCCCACACCTCTACCCATCGAGGCCCTGCCCCTCACCTACCCAGGCCTTGCATCTACCCACCAGACTTTGCCTGGCCACCAGGCCTCGCCTAGTTACCAGGCCCAGCGCCTACCCACCCAGGCCCCGCACCTACAGTATACCAAGACCCAGCCAGAAGGCCTCACGTCTCTACCCACCTAGCTGCGAGCATTTACTCACCCAGGCCCCGCGTCCACCCACCCAGGCCCTGCACCTACACCCCACCTAGGCCCATGCACATCCAGGCCCTGTGTCTCACTTACCCAGGCCCCGCATCTCCTATGCCTAGACCCGGTCCCCGCACCTACCCACCCAGGCCTTGCGCCTATACCTATACACCCATATACCGAGCCTCTACCCACCGAGGTCCTGCACCTACCCCCAGACACAGCACTAGCTACCCCCCAAGGTCCTGCACCTCTACCCATCACCCAGGCCATGCACCTCTACCAACCAAGGCCCTGCACTTTTACCTACCCATGTTCTACACCTCTACCCATCGAGGCCCTGTGCCTCACCTACCCAGGCCATGCATCTCTACCCACCAGACTTTGCCTATCCATCAGGCCCAGCGCCTACTCACCCAGGCCCCACACCTACAGTATCCCACACCCAGCCAGAAGGCCTCACGTCTCTACCCACCCAGGGCCTGCGCCTAGCCACCCAGGCCCCGTGTCCACCCACCCAGGCCCTGCACCCCACCCAGGCCCATGCACATCCAGGCCCTGTGTCTCACCCAGGCCCTGCATCTCCCATGCCTAGACCCGGGCCTGCACCTACCCACCCACGCCCCGTGCCTAGCCACCAAAAGGCCCAGTGCTATACCCACCCAGGCCCTGCACCTATACCCACACACAGACCCCGCGCCTACCTGCCCAGGCACAGCATTTCTACCCACGCAAGTCCCTGCCTCTACCCACTCCCAGGCCCTGCACCTCTACCCGCCAAAGCCCCAGGCCTAGATACCCAGGCCTCACGCCTATCCACCCAGGCCACGCCTCTACCCAGGTCCCGCGTCTACCCACCCAGGCCCCACGCCTATACCCACACCCAAGGTCCCACGCCTCTACCTACTCAGGCCCTGTGTTTCTACTGACCCAAGCAATGCATCTCTACCCACCCAGGCCCGCGTTTACCCAGCCAGGTCCCGCACCTATGGCCACCAGATCCTACGCTTATACTCACACCCAGGACCTATGTTTATACCCACATCAAGTCCTGCACATACACCCACACACCCAGGCCCCACGCACATACCCAACCAGGCCACGCGTCTCTCCCACCCAGTCCCCAAGTCTCAACGCATCTAGGCTCCAGCCTATACACACCTTAGGGCCCACGACTACCCACCCATACCCTGTAGTGCACCTCTACCCATCTGGGCCCCGCGCCTACCCACCCAGGTGTCTATTATACCCCTACCCAGGCCTCGCACCTATACCCCCACCCAGGCCTCGCGCCTATACCTGCACTCAGGCCCCGCACCTATGAAAACCCGGGCCCGTCCCTATACCCACCCAGGCCCTGCATCTATAACCACTCATGCCATACAGGATATAGGTATGATTGTAATCAATTCACAGCAAATAATAATGTTACAACTTCAGATTTTTTTTTTTATAGAAAACTAATACAATGCAACCATCTGAAGACCAAGATCTTCAAGAGAAGGCATTCAGTGTCCTTCCAAACATAAAAAAAATGGTAAAGTAGGAATTTAATTAGTTATAGACCCTGAAGATATTGCACAGACATAGTAAATATAGTTACATTATGAAATTGTTTTTTCAATTCAAATCAATATAAATTTATTACAAAACAAATATAAGTTGTACAATTCTGATAAAAGAGAAGGCACATACTGTAAAACGTCAATAGCAAAATCAGTCAAATCTTAAAAAGTGACATTCTCACATTGAAAAATTATTATTATTATTAATATTATTAGAATTATTTCCATCATCATCATCATCATCATCATCATCATCATCACAAAACCACTACATGTACAAATAATTCATTAAAACTTATTATAAGCCCAAACAAGGTAATATATACTGCCACCATGGAGGGTAGAAATTACATAATTTATTTTCTCCTGTGGTTCACCAAATGTTGGTTCAACAAGTTGCTAAACACACCAAGATTTATATTGAAGTGCTTTGATCTCTTTGCCATTATCAACGTTATTATTAAAAGACAGTTCTTATTATTTATATTCCTAAATTATTTACTAATATTAAGATTGTCATCATTGTTTTCACTACTATTAGGAACCCGCACCACCTAGCGGTCCTAAACCAAAACACCTCAGCCGGGGTACTGAACGTAAGCTCTCCCGAGCACGTCAGGCCAACCCCCGACGCCTTCCAACCGTTCAAGGGGACGATGGAAGCAAGACAAACAATGCAGTCTTCTACAGCT